TCCTCTGAGCACTGAAATCAAGAACGAGTGGGCACTATGATTGACTCATCTACTCAAGTTTCCTTCTGGGGGAAGTGGTGGCATTCCATGCAGGCTGCAAATGGAATTAATGCTTTCTCAGGTCTGTGATTGCAGGTTGCTTCTGAAATCTCTTTCTCCTGGCTGGAGACACAAATCGTAGGTATCAGAGTCAAACTGTAAGCCCAGGTTCTCTTGCACCCAAGTGACATTTATTATGGATCATTGGCTCGTTTTTTTCTCTTAAAGAAGGAGAAACTAAGACATCTCATTCAATGACCTTATGTTAAGTACACTTGCCTAAGAGGAGGGACACCTGTGTTAATGTGTCTCTTTAGCTAAAGGAGCTTTAAATCCACTTCCTAGGTGAATGTCTTTCCAGTAGGCTGTAGATGACCTTGAAACAAGACTGGTTTCCACCTCCTCTCTTGTGGTTGGATTGATTAATTGGTTGTTCTCTGTTGATCCATGTTGATCCATGAATCTTTCAAAATAGCAATGGGGAGTCTGAGTAGTGCAAAGTGGAGACTTGGGTCTAGTCTCTGCTGCCAGCAGTGATGAGGTATTTTATCCAAAAACGATTTAATGCAAAATACTTAAGCCTGTTCTGAATTGTATGTTAAACCATTTCAGCTAAAAAAAAGCAGTATTTAATTGTGGTGCATATTATACATAAGTTCCAGTAACCACATTGTGTTAGGTGTCTGCAGCTGCTATATTTATGACCCAGCCTGGCTTAGGAGGGAGCAGACTGTGTGCTGGTAGGAATGCTCAGAGGGTATTTTTTGGTAGCTGCTTTACTGAGCTTTTAGCAGAGGCTGCAGCATTAAAGCCTGTTTTGTTCTTCCACCCAAGTCACATAGATGCTGAGACAGGGCAGAAAACAAGTTTAGTTTTTAAAAGGTCAAAGATTATAGAAGGGGTGGGGTAGTTGTAAAATTTTACAGGAACCCACTGTAAGTAACTTTTCAGTTTGCACTCTCTATTTGTTGCTCTCATAAGATTTTTGTCTTCTAGCAATAAACAGTTGGCCATGCTCTGTCGTGGGGTCTGGAAGGGTTGCTCCAATCACCAGCATAAATAGGGTTTTGTCCTCCTTTGTAGCCTCTAGTTTGAAATCAAGTGAATAATAACTTCCAAAGAAATGCAGTAATCAAAGAAGCAAACCATGCTCTCTGTACTTGGGGAAGAAAAGAGTTGCCCTACGTGCCCTGTTTGACAGCTTCCCATAGGCAGTGTCTCTGCTGTGCCTGCTTTCTGCAGAGCTATAAAATAAGCACTAAGGAGCCTCCTCGGAAGTGTGACACCCTGACTTCTCCTGAGCTTAAGAGGAGTTAGAATTTTTCCTATAAAGTTCTATGAAACAAGAGAAGATGCCCTTGAAAACAGAGAGAAAAGAATTGTTCAGAAACCAGTTTTGAACTGGATTTAATATGGTGGGACAGCCCTGGTATTACTGAGGACGATGTAGGTGTAGTAAGAGTACTGTGTCTATAACAATGCAAATCCAGTCTCTGCATTGCATCTCTCCACCTTTGGGGTTATCCAGAAAGGGCTTGGGTTTTTTTTGTTTGTTTGGCTGCCTGGAATAGATCTGGTTTGAGCACTAGAAAAAGTGCAGGATATTTTAACTTAAAGACAGTTACAGTTTATGAAAAATGCATTAGGAGGCCAGTCCTGTAAGGGGTGACCTCTGCATAAATGTTTCAGAACTGGCTTTAGATGAGGTCTGAATGCTTTTACTGTAACAAACACAGTCACTACAGAAGTGACACTGCAAACTCTTCTCTGTTGCAAACTGACATTGTTTTATTGAAGTCAGTATTGCTGTTTTCTTTGATGGGCTCTGTGGTTCTGTATAACTGTGTTTGGGAATGCCCCTTGGATTTTTAATTTTCAAGGACAGTTTCCTTTTTTAACTTAAATTACTGGTCTGTTCAATTGATTAGTATTTTACTCGGTTGCTGAGCATTGAAATGAAATGTTAAGATTTTACTGTCTTCATTGTTCTAGCTGGTGTACTTGTCACCTCAACATTCTAATCACCAACAAAAGTGTGAAAAAATACTGTGGTGCCATTAAATCCAACGTTGCTTTCATTATTGCAACTGTTTTACTCTGCACTGTTCCATACAATAATTCTGTTTAATTAAAAATGTTCCCTTTCAGGTCGTTCCTGTTCAGTCCCACAGGCTATTTTACAGAAATCAGTAGCTTTACCTTTCAAAAGCATTCCCTGTGCATTTGCAAAGTGCAGCAGAATTTATGTGCTGAGAATAGTTTCATTCTTCAGTTAGGCCTTAAGTTTGACCCTATAAAAGCTTTTACTCAGGAAAGGACCAGAATTTCTCCCTTTAAATACTTCAGGAAAAACATAACTGTTTTGTTAAATAAACTTGGCCATTTGATAGTGCAAATTAGGGTGGTGATAAAATGTGGAAATTGTTGGAAGGCATCTTGTATAAATTATCACCTTGGCTACACTCCTCCAGGAGGTGGCTTTTATCTCTGCTTTAACTAGGAATGAAAGTTCACCATTGCTGCAGAAAATGAAGGCTATCTTTTTAGTCCAGGTTCAGCTCATAAATACTTTATAACTGTTTCCTGAAAAACTTTTGTGATCCTGCTGGAAATACTATGGGAAGAAGCAGTGTCAGAAGAAAATGTTACCGCTTCAGGTCGGGCTATTTGCATAATTTGAGTTTACAGAGTGTTGCTGCTCAAAGGGAAGCCCTTGTATTTGGTGTGTGCCTGATGCTGACACTTAACAGGCCTTTGAGGCCCAGCTGCCAAAAGCAACAGCAAAATGATACCGCTGAGGTGCATTATTCATAAAATTTTTCAAAAAAACAGGGAAGCCTTTACCTTCAGAAAATAGAGATTCTTCTAAATCTTGTCTGCCACGATTGTCTACCCAGTTATTTCTGCTTTGTCTTGGCACTTTTGAAAGAAAGTGATTGCTTTTAAAAACTGAGCATCTTCATTTTGCTCAGCACTTAATAAGCAAGACATAACACTGATTTATATATATATATATATAAATATATAAATATATATATTTAGTAGCCAAAGATACTTGCACATGTTGTAAGTGTGATTTTTCTAACTCATTGGTAATGGCTGGGAATCCTATTTTAACATAAGTTGTCAGTGGATCGATCACCTTTCTTCTAGGCAGAAATAGGAGAGCATTCATCTGGGAGTTAGAGCATTACTTTTAAGGAAATGTTATACTAGGAAAACAGTTAACATCGTTTTAGCCAAGTTGCATGTCCCTCTGACCCTGGGAAAAAAAAAAAAAAAAAAAGGAGCCCCAAATAAACACAGAAGAGTCAGATTTTGGGAAGGGGAAACTCTGTATGTTGCCAGCCCAGCGATCTCATAGATGTAAGGCTCTTTTCTAAAAAGCAAAATGAAACTCAAAGTAATACAGATCTGTTACTTATATATGTTTCTGAGGTAAACTCTATGGAGAAATGTGATAAAATACAGCTGGCTTTCATGATGATGTGATGTTTTTGTTCTAAATAGAATGGGACTAGAAGCTCTAGTAGAGTCTTATGCCTTTTGGAGACCTTCGCTGCGGACACTTACATTTGAAGATATACCTGGGATACCCAAACAAGGTAACAGTCTTTATGTTCTTTCAAAACAAAAATGCATGAAATTTTCTCAGTCTTACCCACCATTCTTTAAAAAAACTTAGATGGCTGTGTGACTTGCAGAAAAAAAATCTACCAACCAACCCCAGTACATGCCACCACCTCTCGTCAGAGCTATTCTGAATTAGAAAAACTAATGCTAACTTAACGACTGTGGCAGTAAAAATGTTAGGTTGTAAAGAAAGTCAGATCACACGTTGGAGATGACCACTATTTTAGGATGGAATAACCTCTCCGTTAGTGTTATGCTCTAGCTAGAATACACAGGCAGCGTTCATTTATAGATGAATTCCATTATAGACAACCAGAGTCCAATACATTAATAACTTGCGTGTTTAAGAGAAAAAAAAGGAATGGGAGAATTAATGTCCTCTGATGGATCGATAGTGGCAAGCTTGATTAGGTTTCCTCCTTGGAAAGCATTCTGGATTCTTAAAGACCTAAAAATTGTTTACTAAAAGTCTCACCAACTTTATCTGCATCCTAGAGCTTGAAAAAATGAACCTTCTCTCTGTTTTGTTTTTACCAGCTGCCCAGTCCATAATGTCTTGTCTCCTGTTTTCTCCATTGTAGAGGTAGTGCCGTGTGGGAGGGAGGGACATTCAAATGGCCTGTTTGGACAGAGAGAGGACTTACTCTTTTCTGAGTTCCTTTATTTCCAAAGTACCCTAATGCATATAGACAACCTCCCAGACATTTGTCAACTAAATCAGAAATAGCGCTCTTGGTTCTTCACTTTTTGTATTCCAAAGCCATTAAACATCTTCAGAGCAAAAACCCAGAAAAAAGAAATATGCGGAAATCACTTCTGTCAGCTTTTTCTTAGCCCACTCCTTTGAGAAATCCTGAGCATCTGTGTTGGATGTGTATAATCAAAGAGGAGTTTTTGTGCCAAGTCAGAGATAAGTTGGATGAGGGTTGGCAGAATTTTGGGCACAGGATGGGGACGATGGGACTGTCCTTGTAAAACGGGCCTATAAAAAGAAGCCAGCGTCAGACCTGAAATACCTTGTCAGACTGTGTAAGACTTAAAGGCAGCTCATGATGGAATTAAAACATCTAGGAGACAAGCCACCTGTATTGCCCTGTGTCAAGTTCTGTATATAGCAGCACTGTTTGAGAACAAGGGAGCTGCTCTGCTGTTGCAGGTTAAGGAGCTTGCTGAAGTTACTGTGGGTGTTTGCAGAGTGGGAGCTGGGATTCTTTGAAAATCTGTAGTCCACTGTATCTGGGCCACTAGGGTGGTTTAGGTAGTTGCTGAAGGACTGGGAGTGCTCACCTTCAGATAGCAGATGTGTTGGCATAGGTTGAAAGAAAAGTAAGTGTGTCCTGCACTGGGATTTCTTAAATGTGGCACAGTCTCATGGTGCCTTGTGGCTGTTGTGGCCTGCTGACAAGGCAAGAGGCAGGCAGAGTTCACTGATAATGTGTTTTTCTTTTTGCTAGCTCACCAGTCATGAAAACCTGTTAACTTATTGACAGCATGTGTCTCTTTGCTGCATGAAGCTGTTTGGTGGTTAATGTGATTCACAGAGGAGTCTTCCATGTTAAGTGCCTTCTGCCTGGGAGACTGTGAAAGGCCCAAATCAATTTTTCTACACTTCTTTTTTGTAATCTCTAAGAAAAGTAATTTTTTCTTACAGCCGGGGAACTTTCAGTCCTGCAAAAAGGCTTCACCTGTAGCAATCAGTACATTTTCAGGAGTGTTCAGAACTGATACTTGTCATGTAAAGCATTCTAGTATCAGTAAATAAACACTTTGCTGCAAACCTAAACCTCCTCCTGCCTGTTCAAGAAATGAAGCAGCCATGCACAGTACCCAGCCTACACTTTTTCTGGAGTTGTTCTGAAGTTTTGTTATCAGGTTTTTTGGTTTGAAGTTGAAAGTTTTTTCTTCTGAAGTTTTGTTCTCAATTTGTGAACTTCCCTGGAGCCCTTGAACTGTGGGAGCCTCTATCTTGGGCAAAGGAGTCGGTTCCTTAGGTGGTGATCTGATAGTGAATCAGGCACACAATGCTTGGAACACACCGTGGGGTGTAGCAACAACATAGACAATGAAAAATTCCTAACTTTGAAGAAGACTTCTGTGATGTGGTACTTACCTGGCTACATCTTAGCTGCCGTGAAGTTTGTTTCCTATGTCAACTGAAGAGTAGTTAACCAAAAGGTTAGGGCAGGAGCTCTAAGTGTTGAGTGATGGTTGCAAAAGCATGACCTCTGTTCTCTTTCTTGGACAAGTTGTTTCTTTAAAAATCCACATGTGCCACACATGCACACACAGCCCTGCACATGCATGTACGTGCCAGTTTTTGAACAAATTTGCATTGTGTTTCATGACGAGTTATTATGAAGACAAAGGTCCTGTTCTGTCACCTGGGAAGTGAACCTGTCCCAACATGCTTCTTAAACTGTAACATTCTCTTGCAGGAAATGCAGGTTCCTCTACTTTACTCCAGGGATCTGGCAGTGGAGTGCCATCTACCCACCCTCACCTCTTACCGGGTTCCCCTTGCTCGTCTCCAGCCTTCCACCTCAGCCCCAACACCAGCCAGCTCTGTAGCCTCGCTCCAGCTGACTACACAGCTTGTGCCCGCTCAGGCTTGACCCTGAACAGATACAGCACTTCCTTGGCTGAAACCTACAACAGGCTCACAAACCAAACCAGTGAGACGTTTGCTCCCCCGAGGACTCCCTCCTATGTCGGTGTGTCGAGCAGCACAACTGTGAACATGTCGATGAGCGGCAACGACGGCGATGCCTTCAGCTGCCCCCAGACTGGCTTATCCATGCAGATTTCAGGGATGTCTCCACAGCTCCAGTACATCATGCCATCCCCATCCAGCAATGCCTTTACCACTAATCAAACCCACCAGGGCTCCTACAACACGTTCAGACTGCACAGTCCCTGTGCGCTCTATGGATATAACTTTTCCACGTCCCCTAAACTGGCTGCCAGTCCTGAGAAAATTGTTTCTTCCCAAGGAAGTTTCTTGGGGTCCTCGCCAAGTGGAACCATGACGGATCGGCAGATGTTGCCCCCTGTGGAAGGAGTGCACTTACTTAGCAGTGGGGGGCAGCAGAATTTCTTTGACTCTAGGACCCTAGGAAGCTTAACACTCTCGTCTTCTCAAGTGTCTGCACATATGGTTTGATGAAGCCTTTAAGTAAAAGTACAGTATGTTTGGTGTCTACAGTGTATTTCTTTTGGAATATGAAAGGACAGTTGATGTAGCTTGTAAAGTGTGTGTATATATAATACGAGAGGAAGTTTCACTGAATTTTTTACTTGCTTGTGGCCAGATTATTCTCCTAGTTTGAGTTCCACAGAGTTTGTTGCGGCGCAGACTGCTTTAGTTTTCTGGTATAATACACTTAGTTGTATAACACGTTGGAACATATGCAACAAATTAAGTAAGACTTCCTCCCCTTTGCCCCTCCTCTGTTCTAACCCCTTTAAAGAATGAAATGACACTTGGAGTATTAAACAACACAAACAAGCCCAGTTACATTTCCCTAAGTACTAGTGAATTTCTTTAAAGCATTCATACAATGATAAGCTGATGCACCAAAGGCATTTTACAAGTTTCTTCTCTCTTATAAGGGATACAAAGGGTATTTGGACTTTAAAGTGTTAAGCAACAAGCATCCAGCCTAAAATAGAAGTTTAGCTAATGGATTATTTACAAAGTAAACAGAAAGATTAGTTTGTCTTCTCATGATATGCTGTTTTTAGCTTATCAACAGCACAACATTCTTACTAGGATTTATTTTTTTCAGCAGTAATCTAGATTTATGTTTAAATATTTGAAGACAAATAATGCATATTCAAATTGTGATAGGAGTAATTTAAACCAACAGCAGAAGAAGTGGCATTCCTAGGTACAGAATGAATTGGAGTGGTTTCATTTTTGTCAAAGCAAGGGCTTGATGTTGATGCATTTTTTTCCTCCATAAATATTGCTTATAAGACATTTACTGGACAGTAGGATATTCTAATGTATCTTTGTTTTTGTATTTTTGCTTTTTTAAGGGAAGATGGAGGTTTGCTTTAGGAAAAAAAAAAAGCAGGATGAGAAATTCCATTAATGGTTTTACCCTTTTTTGTATGTTTTCTGTTCTGTTTTTGTTTTGTTTTGTTTTTTAATTTTTTTAATAGGGGCAGAAAGTCCTCCATCCTCAGTATCTCCTAATTGCCTGTAGCAATTAGGCAGATGACCCAGTTTGCCTGCAGATGTTGCTGGAAGCAGAACTTTGTTGTAGCTGCCTCCCTGTAACATGGCCAAACTGGGACCAGGATTGCAATAAGCAAAATTCCTTTAATAGTTTACTTTGAACACTCCAACATGACACCTACAGCCTATGTCCCTCCCTCCAGGGAGCCATCTGTCTTCCTCTTTCTCCTTTCTGACATGAGCTTACTGCTGCTCAGTTTCTCAGTCACTTTATGCTCTGGAACTGGGAGAGGCTCCCTTCCTAGCTCTGGTTTTAACTGGTGCTTGTAAGAACACAGATCACAAGCTGCTCCTGACCAGGCTTCCCCAGAGAGACAAGGACATGGGGAGACACTTATGAGATTTCTGCCCTCGTGTGCACCTGCACAGCCCTGGTGTTTGTCAGTCCTGCTGCAAAGCTGCCTCTCAGCTGCCTGCCTGTCAGAGCTGAACCATGGAGGCTGTAGAACAGATTTTACTGCTTCAGAGAGACAGTGAGTCTTCAACAGTAGGCTAAGCCTCCTTTATATTGTGCAGGAGATGTAAAGGCATTACAAAGTGGGTACAAATGTAGTTGAAAATGCTTCCCTGGTCAGCGTTGAAGGAGAGTAAGGCCTTTCAGATTTTATGTTTTCCTGTGTTCGATTTCTTGGTGAAGGTGGATTGTTATATTTTCCAAGATTTACTAAATCTTTTCTGGCAAACAGTGGGATCAACATCTCCCACTTCAAGAAGGACTTGCAACTAGTATTTCTTCAGTGGGTTGGAAATAATGCATGCAGAAACAGTCCTCTCACTATCTCTTTTTATTATTTGGGAATAGAAGAGAAACCACAGCAGCCTTTAAGGGGAGGGCTTTATTTTTATTAGTTACGTATTTGTTTATGCTAAAGAACACACATAGAAAGTTCTCATTCAAAGCTGGAAAGACAAAAGGATGACCCTGCAATTGAGGAGATGTAGGTTTGCTTCTTTGCTGTCACAAACTTCTCAAGTGACCTTGGGCAACTCACTCCGCCTCTCTATTTTTATTCTTTAATTCTGCAAAATGTGGTAATAGCACTTCTCTGCCTCACAGTAAATGGTGACAGTACCTTAAAGATTAAGATTATCTTTACATCTGCTGTGCTGTGGAGGGTATGTTACAGATGAATGGCTAGGGTAGAGTTCATGTGTGAAGATAACAAAGAGTATCTGTGGACTTCAGGTCCCTGACCAGTTTTGGCATTGCAGTGTCCTTTGAGGCAGACCTCCTAGCAGAGACCTGCAATGCTAAAGACACTTTTAAAAGAACTCACACTATGAGTTTGTGAAATGCTTCTAAGATGTGTAGAATATGGACAAATTTTCAGTTATGTAAATTGTCGTAGCTTTATTGCTTTAACAAGAAACGTGTGTACATGGCCAAAACTTTGAAATTATGCAGTTGGACAAGTCTTTACATGGGAAAAATGATACAATTGATCTGTACTTGAAAAATGTTAAATATAATTACCCATGTCATCTTAAGGGCTGTGGCTAGGTAGAAATGTGGAAGAGCTAGATCCTGTATGTTCCTACAGGGGGGGAAAAAAAGGTTGTGCGTGGATGTTGATGGAGGTGCTCCTGGCAAGAGTATGTACTTTCTCATCTGGGAATTTTTTAGAACTGGTCTCTTATTTTTCCTCAAATTATTCTTGTCATATAACCACACAATATTGTTTGAAACATTTGTTTCTGAAATTTTGAATCGTATTGTACATATTTACTGGTGTGTCATTGTGAAAAGATTAGCTTTTTATCAATATAGTAAATTCTATATATGCATTATATCTATAATTATATATCTGTATTTTACAAAAATGCCACAGAAAATATATTAAAGTGTGTATTCAAACACTTTTTACTAAACTTGAAAAAATTGAGGGGCTTGGGCCTTTTTTTTCATCTACAACTTCAGCAAGATCAAAGGAAGTGACTCCAAGGTAAGCTCTGAAATTCCAAGAATGAACACAGCAAGCTGCAGTGATGCAACTTAAAAATGATCCAGTTCTAAAATGGTTCTTTAACCATCTGCTGATGTTGAAGCTGTATAATTTGTATGGAAAGGTCACAGCAGATGTTGGGTACAAGCGGATGCTGAGGCAGGTAGCAGAGCTGTGAAGTTTCTATGTGGGAAGAAGGGACTGAGCAGCTTGCTGGGCTCACTGGTCAGTGGTAGAGCCTTGCTAGTTCCTCACAGCCCAGCTCATCCCTGCTGCCTAGACCAGTTCAGCTGCCCCATATCAGCCAGATCTGGGAAGTTGGAACTTCCATGTGACCAGGTGCTTGGGTGGAAGCTCAGTACCCTGCATATTTTCTCTCTGTGCTCTTACTTTGAGCATTCCCTCTATGTTCTGCTTACTGTAAATGCATTGATTCCTAAGGCACAATTTACAACTTTTAATGAGCTGGGTATACTGTTACTCATCAATGAGCAACATTTCTCCCCCAGAAATAGTTATGTGTAGTGCCCTTATTTCCTATTGTACTGCAATAAATGATTCCATGTGATGTAGGGCACATGGCCTGAAAATCTGATTACTTCAGAGACTAGGGTTTCATAGTCACTTAACACCAGCATTGTTGCAAATGACCAGAATTAGGGCAAGAGAAGTAGGCATGAAATGCTTGATCATAAATATCAGGCTTCGAGAGAGAATGAAAGCTGTTTTTAATAAGAGCCTTTTTTGAAATAGCAGGATCAGACTCCAGGAAGGCTCATTTCTACTTCAACAGAGGACAACGGGAACTTTAAAATCACAGACAGTGTTGGCATTAATGCTAGCAAGGTGATACCATGAGCAGTTCAACAGAAAGAACTTAAAGGATCATCAGAGGTAGCCGACAGGTTATGTGGGTATATTTTTCCTTAATGTATCTAGTTAGTTGGTGCAGAAATGTGTTAAAAAGTCTGAAGAGTAGCTACTGTTAGAGGTTTATTTACCAACTTCACATAAGAAATTACTATTTCATTGCATTCTTCCAAATATGCTCTGAAACTGTAATGACAGTAATGTTTAAATTTACCTCAAAGTCCAAGTTTTAGTATCAGTAACTGGAATTTATCATATTGAAGTAATCATTACTCTTCTTAGGCTCACTACACTTTGGCTGACAAAATATATCGAATTGTCAGTTGAGTTCTTCATTAATTTGATCCTCAGATTCAATATTTGGCTTTGTGTTTAAGACATAGTTGTTACTATGTCCAGATATGCAGAACTACAGGAAAAGTAATTTTCTGCCTTACTTTCAGCCATACTCCTCAGTAACACAGTTAACTGAGCAAACTGGACATGCCAGGATGACACACACTTTTAAGAGGTGATGACTTGCTTCATTAGGAAATAGCATTTCTAGAGAATTTAACTTGCTTTAAATGCTTTTTGCCAGTGTTGTAATGCTCTGAAGAGGTGTTTGTTACCCAAAAAAGACAAAGTCCTGTGCAGTCACCACTTACTCTTGCAAACCAGGGTTGAATTGGCCATGAAACTATCTCAGATGCTTTGGTACTGAAGCCCAAAGAGGGCAGTTCCAGCAAATGGGAATCAGAATCTTCTGAATATAATTGGAGAAAGATAGAAGCCTGAATTAGTGATATTTTTATCTATTGTTTATGTTAGAGCTGAATCCTCTTAATCTGAAAAGACTAAAACTAAAGCTTTGTCCAGGGATTTTCTAGGTCTTCCCTTGCCAAACATAACCTGCTGCAGGCTGGCTGAAATCCTGTCCCTTGAAATACTGTCACTGTTCCAGTGGCTCACTCCTTTAGGCTCTCTTTTTGCAAAAGGACCATACAGGCTTCCTGGGGTAGAGGCTGGTACTTGCCCCACTGTTAGTTATTAGTCTGAACTATACTTCTACAGCAAAGGTTAATTATCCATGGTGAAGTAAGTAGTCCTGCTAAGTGTTGTTCCTGATGTTTGACTCAGTTTTAGCATTTGAAGTCCGTAGTAATGATTTAAGGCTCTTCAGAAGCATCAGTAAAACAGAAGGTCAGTACTGCTATCAGGAAAATAC